TTTTTTTTTTTTTTTTTCTATTACCGCCCGTTTATTTATTTATTTATTTTTTCTACTTTGCGATCATTTTCAGGTACTGTGAGATAAAGCTGCCATCTGGGGTGAAGAAACTGATAGACGTGAGATGTCGAGCGACTATTGGAATGGTATCGAACCCGGAACACGGAACAAAGAAGCTAAGAAAGGCTGGGCAAAGCCGATGGTTGGGAAGGAGGCCTGTTGTGAGAGGTGTGGCTATGAACCCAGTTGATCATCCCCATGGTGGTGGTGAAGGAAGGAGTAAGAGTAGTGGTAGTCATGGCCGAGTCTCACTTACGCCCTGGGGAAAACCAACCAAGTGTGGCTACAAAACGGCTCGTCCTAAGAGAAAGATTTAAGTGTTTGTTCCCTTGTAGGTGAGTGGCTTTCATTTTGTTTTCAGTTATCTGACTTGGATATTTGAACTAGAGGGAGACAAGTTAGAAGTTTTATTTCTATTCCGAACAGTATGAATGGAGGCATCATGCACAATCTAGTGATCTGTAACTCGAGTTCAAAATTGCTCGATCGTCTTAGGTAAGTGAAGATGAATAATTGAAAAGGAAGGATTAAGTTTAAATTGATTTGGTACTCATGTTATAGCATCGAATGTCAGCAATTCAGTGATTAAGCTCGACATGCTGGGTGTTGCAAGATTGGCAAGCCAAAGAAAAAAAGGAAAAAGAGAAGAACTATTAGAAAGGAAACCATGCATATCACAACCATTCATAACTTGGATTTGAATGAGTCAGAATTGATTATCATTTGGATTTGCTGCATATTATGATAGTTTTGGTATGAATGAATAAATCTAGAGTGGGTGAATAGGTTTCTTCAACTTCTGACAATAAAATATCTCCTTGAGAAAGTTGATAGACAGACAATTGAGTTGTTGGCGTTTGTAATCTCCATAATATGAGGCAATCTCAATTACCTCGGCTTGCATGTGTGCTTGTTATCAAATAATGTGTTCCATTATTTTTTTTATTTTTATTTTTGTTAACAAGAGTTAGTTTTGAAAAAAGTGGTACGATTAGTAGTTAGTGAGATTTTAAGAATGTATTAAAATAGTATTTAAAATAAAAAAAAACTAAAATTGATTTGATGTAAACGTAGAAGATAAATGATTGGAAATGATACGTAATTCAAATTATGTGAGTCGATGATTAGTGCATTAAAGTTGATGTGATGTATAAAAATTGAAAGATATATTATTTTGGCATGAGTTCTAAAATAAGGATGTTTGAAGAAATGTTCCCTACAAGCATTAGGAATCTCGGAAAAGGGAAATTCTTCAGGTTTTATTTATTTCCTAATTTAGTTTATATTACATATAAGGTTGCATGATTTTATTATGGTATTATATCTTGTAGGAAATCGGATCTTATGAAAACAAGGAAAGAGAGGCATGCACAAAAAGGAGATCTTAGAAAGAGAAGAAGGAGATCAATACTTATCATAACTCTTGCTACATACTTGGAAGGAAATCGAAAAAGGAGTCTCATGCTTGGAGAATACTCCAACCCTAAGGAGATTGTATAAATACCCTACTTGAAGATCGAAGGGAAACTGCTGACATTATTATTCACGAGAGCAAGATTCGAGCTTCAAGATTTTTGTTCTTTTGCTTTTTGTTCACAGTTCAGTTCAAGAGTTCTTACACATCTGAGAACTGAAGTTGTTTTGGTTTGTTTTTCTTTGTTTCATTCAAACTATTTCATACTTAACACTTAGGGATTAACTGTTTGTTAGAAAGTTCACGGGACGTGGCCGGAGAAGTAATTGATATGATCGTGTGTAGTTGTGGCTAGACTAGAAGAGAGTTTGAGTTGTGTAAGTCCAAACTATACAATGGTTGTCGGTTTATCAATGAAAGACCTCTGAGGGGAAGTGAGACGCTTCCGTGAAGAGTTTTTTAAATCTTCTGTTTATTGCTTTCGCTATTTATCGTTATTTATTCACGTGTTTACACAGTTGAGCGCACTCGCGATAAAATTATATGTCTCAAGAATGATTGGTCTGTATTATTTAATTATATAAATAATATTAAGGATAGTGAAGTTGAGATAAAGTTGATTTAAATTTTGAGTATGAAATTATTGTTAGTAACATTCAATATAGCCAAAACGAAAACAAGATATACTCAAAATCCTCGTCCTCAGGTACAAGTGACAAGCAAATCTATATAGCATCCTCTGTGAAACTAACCGCAAGATCCCAATAATGCGCAACCCCGTGATCAAAAAAGTATTTCCGGGCAGCTGCCTCAGTCCTACACTCCTGGATGAAAAATCTATTTAAAGCTCGGTTTAGCCACACTTCCCGGCCAGACGAGGGCACACTTATTCAGAGGTTTCTCCTCATCATCATCCTCATCATCATTTTCCAAAACTCAAACTAATAATTAGTGAACAACATTTTAAAATTCATGTTTGATAATTAGTGAACAACATTTTAAAATTCATTTACTTTATTAATTATTATAAGATAATTACGATATTATTAATAAAAACTCCTCATAATATTAATTATTATTAATATTTCATAAAATAAACTATTTATTATTACAAGTAATTATTTTATTGGGATCTTTCGTGGATTCTTTTGTTTCTCCGCTGTTCCGACTCGTTTGATTGCTTAGGAAGGGCCTTGTTATTGTTTTGTTGCTTTGATGTTTTTTCTTTTTGTGTCTTTTGGTGTGTTGGTTGGTAGGATTGTGTTTTAGGTTTGGGCCGTTGGCCTCAGTACTGATTACCCAATGGGGGCCATTTCTATTCTCCTGTTGGGAGCGTTCGTAGTTTGTGTTCGTCTGGTGTGTCGTGTGTTTTGTTTTCTAGCGTTGCTAGCGTGATACCCGTTTGGGGGTTATCTAGGCCGCTTTATAGCGTGTCCTCTCTCTTTTCATTTTCGGCGGTTGGCCCCGTTTGTATCTGATTATGTTTTTCTTTTGAGTTATAATATAGGAAAAAGCTACTTGTACAACTTTTTTGTACAACATTCAATGACAACATGATGTGACACAATGTGGGTGGTTGAGATGCAAATAAATGTATGGTTAAGATTTAAGTTAATTGTACTTTTAACTATGTTGTCAAATAATGTTGTAAACTACAATTGTACATGTAGCATTGCCCTATAATATATTATCTCTTTCGTTTCGAAAAAAAAAAAGTAATTATTTTCTTAAAAAGTGTTAAAAATGAATTTAGTAATTATTCCTAAACACATCATTAATATAATTACATTTTATTGATTATATAATTATACAAACTAATTATAATTTTTTCAACTTATATTACACTAGTAATTGTAATTTTACTAATATATATAAAATATAATATATTAACTTTATTATTATATAATAATATAAAATATATATTAATTTTATTAATCTATATTAATACATTATATTATATATATAATATAATTTTATATTACTAAATATATAATTCATTATATAATATAATATATAAATTATACTCCTTATTAAATATATTTAATTCATTATAAAATTTTATAAAAAAAATCCGACTGCCGAAAAAGGACCATCTGACGCCCGAAGAATTTAAATAAAAAAAATAAAAAAATCGATCGTCGGCAGCCCGAAAAAGGAACGGCCGGCAGATGATGAAGGCGGCCGGCCGTCGGGACGTCCGTCCATTGCGGCCGACAACGGACCGGTCGCGAAGTCAAGCAAGGTCGCGCGAGCTCTGGCCGTGGTCGTCGGCCGTCCCAGGCGTATGGGCCGCAATCAGCTGCCAGC